ATTTTTGGGGGGATTTTTTGGGATTTTTTTGAAATTTTGGTTTTTTTTTTTTTTTTTTGGGGATTTTTTGGGATTTTTTTTTGAAATTTTGGGGATTTTTTAAATTAATTTTTGGGGGATTTTTTGGGAGATTTTTTGGGATTTTTGGGGATTTTTTGGCTGATTTCTGGAGGGGTTTTTTTTAGATTTTTGGGTGATTTTTTGTGATTTTGGGGGGGGATTTTTGGGTGATTTTTTTTATTTTCTGGGGATTTTTTCGGAATTTTCGGGTGATTTTTTTGGGTGATTTTTGGGGTTTTTTTGAGATTTTTGGAGGATTTTTGGGGGGATTTTTTGGGATTTCTGGGATTTATGAACTTTCTGGGATTTGGGATAATTTTTGGGGGGAATTTTTGGGATTTTGGGGTGATTTTTTTGATTTTTTGGGGATTTTTTTCGGAATTTTCGGGTGATTTTTTTGGGTGATTTTTGGGGTTTTTTTGAGATTTTTGGGGGATTTTTGGAGGATTTTTTGCGGGATTTTTTGGGATTTCTGGGATTTATGAACTTTCTGGGATTTGGGATAATTTTTGGGGGGAATTTTTGGGATTTTGGGGTCTCACCTTTTCCGCGGCATCGTCGACCTGGAGCAGCTCCGCTCCCAGGGCCCGGCAGAAAATTTGGGAATTTTCCCAGGAGGCGGCGACGTCGGAGAAGAAATAACAGGAATTCCCAAAAAAATCCCAACCCCGCGAGCAGGGCAGAAAACCTGGGAACATCCCAAAAAATTGGGGTCGGAATTGGGGAAAATCCTAAAAATTTGGGGAAAATCCCAAAAAAATTGGGGTCGGAATTGGGGAAAATCCTAAAAATTTGGGGTCGGAATTGGGGAAAATCCCAAATTGGGGAAAATTCAGGAAAATTGGGGAAAAATGGGGGGAAATTGGGGGGAAATGGGGAAAAAATGGGAAAAATTGGGGAATATTTGGAATAAATTGGGGAAAAATCGGGAAAATTAACGAAAAATTGGGGAAAATTCAGGAAAAATTTGGGGAAAATTGGGAAAAAATGGGAAAAATGGGGAAAATTTTGGGGAAAATTCAGGAAAATTGGGGAAAATTTCGGGAAAATTTTAGGAAAAATTGGGGAAAATTCAGGAAAATTGGGGAAAATTGGGGAAACTTGAGGAAAATTGGGGAAAATTGGGAAAAATTGGGGAAAAATCGGGAAAATTAACGAAAAATTGGGGAAAATTCAGGATAATTCAGGAAAATTTTGGGAAAAATTGGGGAAAATTCAGGAAAAAATGGGGAAAATTGGGGAAAAATTGGGGAAAATTCGGGAAAATTCACGAAAAATTGTATAAAATTCAGGAAAATTGGGAAAAATTCAGGAAAATTCAGGAAAATTGGGAAAAATTGGGGAAAATTGGCGGGAAATGGGTAAAAATTGGGGAAAATTGAGGAAAATTGGGGAAAATTGGGAAAAATAGGGAAAAATTGGGAAAAATTCAGGAAAATTTTGGGAAAATTTTGGGAAAAATTGGGGAAAATTCAGGAAAATTGGGGAAAAATCGGGAAAATTCACGAAAAATTTTGTAAAATTCAGGAAAATTGGGGAAATTCAGGAAAATTCAGGAAAATTGGGAAAAATTGGGGGAAAAAGGGAAAAATTGGGGAAAATTGGCGGGAAATGGGGAAAAATAGGGAAAAATGGGTAAAAATTGGGAAAAATTGGGGGGAAATGGGGAAAAAATGGGGGAAAAATGGGAAAAATTGTGGAAAATTGAGGAAACTTGGGGAAACTTGAGGAAAAGTGGGGTAAATTGGGAAAAATTGGGGAAAATTGGGAAAAATAGGGAAAAAATGGGGAAAATTGGGGAAAATATGGAAAAATAGGGAAAAATTGGGGAAAATTCAGGAAAAATTGGGGAAAAACGGGAAAATTGGGAAAAATGGGGGAAAATTCAGGAAAACTGGAAAAAAATTGGGGAAAATTCAGGAAAATTTGGGGA